AGAAATGGGGAATACAAACGGTCTTTAGGGAAAGTACGACACTCTATTCAGTTATGTCCACTTTTAAAGAGGAAGTTTACCCATTATCCAGATCGGGTTGCTACAAAATAATGTGTCCGTGTGGTCGCTTTTATGTTGGAGAGACTTGTCGTCCCATTCGACAAAGAGTGGCTGAACACAAAAGCGCCTGCAAAGGTTGTTAGGTTCAAAAATCGGAGCTGGCTGAGCACAGGCCATAAACTGGACACGAGATTGAATGGTCTCAAACTTGTAGTTTTGCTGATTATGGTATGTTTGCGGCTAAACGTAAAATAAGAGAAGCCATAGAAATAAAATGAATAGAAAATACCTTGAATGTAAAGAATACCAGCAAGAAGATAAGTAAAAACTATTTGTGTTTAATTAATAGACTCAAGGATTGAGAGGGAGTTGAGCCGCTTGCAAAAAGGAGGCGACGAAACTAGTCTTTTCTTGTTTTGGTTCTAATAATAGTCGATTCTCAGTAATTTTAGCTCACTTTTCCTCTCTGGCATTGAGACCAAACATTAAAAAAATGCTCAGCAACAAAACCAAACGAGTATCCGACCTTGCGCAATCGGAGTGATGGTTAGAACTTCAATGTAGAAAAGAGGATATAGGGTTCATCAAACCTTAATGGGCGAAAACAGACGTTACTTTTGCTGTCCTCTTTACTTTGAACAATCACCTCGGGTTTCGTGCATAAGCAAACACAAACAGGCACATACATATACACATGCAAATACAGACACACTCACAGGCTTCGAGGTTGAGATATGACTGTAACTAACCAAATCATTTTATACCCCATCAAAGAGGTCAAATATGTAGTATATATCGAGTTTTTTAGAGGTTTGCCGGTGAATTTTTTCGATTCGTTAGCTTGAATTTGTTTGTGTCCATAATACCTTGTTCTAATGATATTCATCACATGCCCGACGAAAGCTTAGCACGTTTTCACCGGAATCAAAAGACATTACCTCGGAAACAACGTCAGCATAAATGTTCCAGCAAGGTCAATCGACAGCTGGTCAAGAGTAATCCGCCGTCGTCTTCTGGTGGAATCGACCTTCGAATCTCTTCAACAAAGACTTTCACCCGAAATGGAAGT